ACAAGGTGAATACAGGTTCAAAAATAATTAAGATACATTTTCTTAAGGCTACCTAGAATTAGGCTTTAAAAAATCCTACCATTTCAAGTTTACCACTAGTTACTAAATACCTATTTACAAACAAGATGTTCACTTTTTTTTATTTATTTATTTATTTTTAAGATTTTATTTACTTATCATGTATGCAGTGAGTGTTCAGCCTGCAGGCCAGAAGAGGGCACCAGATCTCATTGTAGATGGCTGTGAGCCACCATGTGATTGCTGGGAATTGAACTCAGGACCTCTGGAAGAACAGCCAGTGCTCTTAACCTCTGAGCCATCTCTCCAGCCCCTAAATATTTTATATGAGTACCTAAAACTACAAACAATAAGTTGAAGTATTTAAATAAATCTAGTAGTATTTGCTCAGCATGCTAAGATAAGGTTCATAGTGTCTCGTCTACGTCTCCTTTTGGTATTATCACAGACTAGCTCACGTAGGGAGCCCTGTTACAGATATTAGTCTTTTTTTCACAGCCTTTCTCATGGATTTTGCTTCGTTTTGACCAGGTCTCATGTGGTTCAAGCTGGACTTGAACTCTGACCCTCCTGTCTCTGCCTCTTTTTTTTTTTTTTTTTTTTTTTTTTTTAAAGAGGTATTTATTGGCTGGGCGGTGGTGGCATGCCTTTAATCCCAGCACTCGGGAGGCAGAGCCAGGCGGATCTTTGTGAGTTCAAGGCCAGCCTGGTCTACAAAGCGAGTTCCAGGAAAGGCACAAAGCTACACAAAGAAACCCTGTCTCGTAAAACCAAAAAAAAAAAAAAAAGAGGTATTTATTTATTATATATACAGTGTTCTGCTTACCTGTATGTCTACAGGCTAGAAGAGGACACCAGATCTTATTATAAATGGTTGTGAGCCACCATGTGGTTGCTGGGAATTGAACTCAGAACCTTTAGAAAAGCAGCCAGTGCTCTTAACCTCTGAGTCATCTCTCCAACCCCTGTCTTCAGGTCTTAAGTGCTGGGATTATAGACATGCATCACCATGCCCAGCTCAGTGATTTTTTTTTTTTCTTTTAATGAAGAAAAAGTCCACTTTCATGGTTTCACTGAAGGGTCAGGTTTAAATTTTTCAGAATAAGGGACCAGGGAGATGGCTCATTTGGTACAGTACTCACCATACAAGCATGTATCCAGCACCCCAATAAAATATCAGGCATGGAGTCACAAACCTGTAACCCCAGTGTTGGGAAGGCAGGGACGAGGATCTCAGGGACTCACTGGCCAGCTACTCTAGCCAATTGGGAGACTCAAAAATCCAAAGCCCTCTCTAGTCTCTGAAGGCACCTGCACTCACATGATGCATGTATATTAAGCACACACACACAAAAAAAAAAAAAGTGAGGAGAAATACAGGAAGATACTGGCCTCCAAATGCATATGCACAGACGGACACATACACTCATGTACCCCATACACAAATGTTCAGTCAGGTGGCTCAAAACCTGTCAACCCAGTGCTTGGAAGGCCATGTTTTCGGCGCCACAGATTCAAGGCAGTCCTGAGGTACAAAGTAAAACCTTATCTCCAAAAGTAAAAAGTGGCAAAATAAGCAGGCTCTGATGGTGCACACCTTTAATCTCAGAACTCAAGAGGCAGAGGCAGGCAGAGCTCTGTGAGTTTGAGGCCAGCTGAGGATACAGAGCGAGTTCCAGGACAGCCAGAGCTAAACAAAGGAACCCTAGCTTGAAAAACAACCCCCAAAATGCAGAATAAATCGAGTGTTTTAAATATGTGATCGGGGCCATCAAGATGGTTCAGTGGTTTGCTGCCAAGCCTGACAACCTGTGTTCAAGTCCCAAGACCCATGTGGTAGAAGGGGGACCAACTCCTGTGAGTTCTCCTCCGACCTCCACATAAACGCTATAGCATGTCCCCCTCCCCACTATAAATAAAACATTTAAAAACATTAAATGTGCGATCTGCTGTTCTGTAGATGACCAATAACCTCATTTTACATGTGTAGAAGTATTTTCTGTCTTTATATTATTATTTTTTATGTGTATATGCACATGTTTGTGGTACCCTTGCAGGCAAGGAGAGGTTGGATCCCTTAAAAGTAAAGTTCCAGGTTGTTGTGAACCACTTGACCTGTGATCTGGGACAAACTCTGGTCCCCTGAAAAAACGGGAAGCACTCTTAACCACTGAGCCATCTCTCCAGTCCCCCTTTCTGCCTTTATATCTTTTTTTTTTTTTTTTTTTTTGGTTTTTTCGAGACAGGGTTTCTCTGTGTAGCTTTGCGCCTTTCCTGGAACTCACTTGGTAGCCCAGGCTGGCCTCGAACTCACAGAGATCCGCCTGCCTCTGCCTCCCGAGTGCTGGGATTAAAGGCGTGCGCCACCAACGCCCGGCCTGCCTTTATATCTTAAGGTTATACTTTATATCTTAGAGTCAATATATGTTAGCACTCAGTGCCACCAAAACACATTCTTTTTCAGTTTCAACAGACATTAAAGATTGAAGCGCTTTCTGACGTTGCCTTACTTGAAACTATCCAGTTCATAGTATCCGAACAGTTCATCATTCCCCCACCTTAGGTCTCTCCTCCTGGCATTTCACAGTGCCACAGGCTGAGGACAGAAGAGCATAAGCATTTAAAAAGTGGTCCAGGAGGCCGGGCACTCAAGAGGCAGAGGCAAGCAGATCTCTGTGAGTTTGAGGCCAGCCTGGTCTACAGAGTGAGATCCAGGACAAGCACCAAAACTACACAGAGAAACCCTGTCTTGAAAAAACAAAAACAAACAAACAAAAAAAGGTCCAGGAATTTGGCTCACATATTTCATCATGTATTTTCAGTCTCCTAATACATGAAGATGTGTTGAGATGCGACTAAGTAAGTGTGTAACTATCTGCATCTCTCACAGTAGATTTAAGAAGGCTAAGGGGAAAGACTATGTAAATGTT